CGGGGCCGGGCGGCTCCTCCTCGTCGTCTCGAACTCGGGTTGACCTTGGCCCAGTCGCCCAGGCCGCCGAGCCACCGCCATCTCCGAGCCGCCCGGGTGGGCAGTTTGGAGGTTTTGCGGCTCTGTGACTGGAAGCTCTCGGAGGAGCCGGCAGTTTGCCGGGCGCCTGCCTGTGGGAGGGCGAAGGAAGAAAGGCCCGAGGCCCCGTCCCGGCACGGGCTGAGGGCGGGCTCTCGTGTTTACCTTTTCAAAACTCTGGTGTAACCAGAGGTTGGTGCAAAACTTTGGAACGTGCCCCTAAGAGACGCCCCTTGGTCTCAGCCCAAAGCGGATGAAGCCTGGAGCCCTTGGTAGCTGTCAGCTTCCTGGACGCCCACGGTGCCTGGCTGTTTTTCCAGGGGCGCCCCAGCCCACAGGCCCTGCCCAAGCCCTCTTTAGGGGGATGGAAAGTAGGGACCCCCTAGCATTTGGACAATTCATGCTTGTGATTTCCTCTTATTTGCCAAAAACCTTTACCACCCGGGAAGAAAATTGCACAGCAGATTTAGGTCTTTATTTTCTTAACTTTTTTTTTTTTTTTTTGAGTCAGGAACTCATTATGTAGCTTTGGTTGTCATCGAATTCCCTGTATAGACCGGGCTGTCTCGAACTCATAGAGATCCGTCTCAGTTGAGGGATTAAAGGCGTGTGTCACTGTACCTTGCAAACAAAGTCCAGGTCTTGTGAACTGTGGAATCTTGTCAAGGATTTTGTATGGCGCCGTACCTTTTTGGTAGTGGTGTGGGAACTCTTACCTCGGTGGGCGGAGTTGTGCATGATCGATGATAAGAATGATAGGCACAAAAGCCTATTTATATGATAGTGTAAGTTGGAAGAAATTGACAATACTGAATTGACAAACCACGTTTCACTGCAGGTCACTAGCATGCAGATACTCACACCCTGACTTGACTGCCTGACCACTGACATGGCCCACCGGGGTGGGGAAAGGGACTTCCAGACTTCAGCTCGGCGGATGGGTACCTCTCTGCTGTTCCAGCTTTCAGTGCATGAGCGGGAGCTGGACCTCGTTTTTTTGGATCATAGCTATGCTAAACCATGGAGTGCCCACCCAGATGCCAGTAGTGCCCGACCCACCCGCATGCTCTTTGTAACTCCCCGTCGGCAGCAGGAGAATACTATGTGAGTTTGAGAATACCATGTGAGTTTGGGTTTCCTTCTTAAGGGCTACTTGTGCCTGATCTCGGCAGTGATCATGTGGTGGGGATTAGAGAGGTGTACTTGGGAGTGATTGGGGGAGGGGAGTGACTGGAGATCTTGGATGAGCAGCATAAGCATGGCAGGGCAAGTGTGGACATCTTCAGACATTTCCAGATGTGGGTTAGAAAAGCACGATGTGCAAGTGGACACACAGCCACTTAGATGAGTGTCGTAGAGCTTGTGTGGAAGGAGGAAACTGGAGAATTTCCTTGTCACTTTACTGCAGCATTTGATTTGCTTGACAGTGGCCACAATCTATTCTTCGCTTTCCCTGGCTTTAGTGCACAGATTCACAGATTTGGAGGGAAGCTCCCAAAACATTGCTTTCATTCTTACCTCCTTACAGAAAGCCACCTGTGGGTTAATCTAAACCCTCCTAAGTCTCATTATATTTCCAGCCACCCTACGTTAGAGGGTAAGAAAATTTCAAAAATTTACTATCTGATAAGTGATTTGGTTACATTTGACCTAACTAATTATTTTAAACGTTCTGATCTCACCCATATCAGGATTTGTAGAAATGCTCTAGTCTGATCATTAAAAATTTTTGGATAAGAGATTTTGTGTTTGTTTTTTGTTTTGTTTAATCTTTCCTCAAACACAAGGTTTGTTGTTTTTGTGGGAATAGTAGGTTCTCTATACAGACACACACACAACCCCTACACACCTACCTTGAGTCTTTGAGTTAGAGGGATCGTTATGTGTTTTTAAGCAAGTGTAGAATGTTGGATGTTTTTGTTGGTTTTGTTGCTAGGATAATAGGTATATGCCGCCTTGATTAGTCTGTGTGCTTCCTTTTGGGCCAGGGTCTTACTCTGGTCCCCTGGCCAACCTGGAACTTGCAGTGTGGCTATGGTGGCAGCAAACTCTTGATTTTCTTGTTGCTGCCTGTAATCCCAGCCTCTGGCCTCCAGTTTTGGAAATCCCCCTCCTCCTGGGAGTTGCCTTGGTCTGAACACCTCAAGGGAGCCCACCAGACCTTGACCCCTCCCCAGAAAAGGTCAAGATCAGTTCCACAGGCTATTTAAACTGCTCCCCAGAAAATAATCACTTGGTTTTCCCTCTTCCTCTCTGGTGATGGTTGTGTAGGTGGCTTCTCCCCCCCCTTGTTGGGCCACCTGAGAACGCAGGTGTCCAATTAAACCTGGATATCTTTTAATTTGCTCTGATTCAGTCTGATTGGGATTAATTGCATGGGCAAGAGCTTATTTTAGGAAATATTCCTAACACTGCCTCTCAAGTATTAGGATTGCAGTCTTAGGTGTGAATTAGAAGAGTAGGTTTGTTGGTTTGTTTGAGGCATGGTCTCTCTATGTAGCCCTCGCTATCCTGGAACTCTCTATGTAGACCAGGCTAGCTCAGAGATCCACCTGCCTCTGCCTCCCATGTACTAGCCTTAAAGACCTGTACCATTACTCAGCTCAGAAGACAGGTTTTTATTTCCTAATGATAGTAACATTTTGTTGACTTCTAGTTTGATCAAGGTCCATGAGCCATGACTTAGAGGAACGTTCTGGCATAATCCTAATGCCTCTGGCTTGAGGCATGACTGAAAATCTTTACTTAGAATTTGAATTTTTTTTTACTGTGTTAAAAAAATCTTGCTTACATTAAAACTCATGTATTTGTAACTCATGGCATTTTCTTAAAATGAAGCTGTGATTGAGTAACTGACTTTATTGAAAGATTTATTTTTATTTTTAGTTGTGTTTATGAGTGTGGGTATGTACATTGAGTGACCATGTCCTCAGAGGTCAGAGGAATCAGATCCGTGGAGCTGTAGTTACAGGTAGTTGTGAGCCATCTCATGTCAGTGCTGGGAATCAAACCTGAGTTCTCTGAAAGAGCAGCAAGCACTTTAAACTGCTGAGCCATCTCTCTGGACCTGAGGAGCAGAACCCCACCTACACAAGTCAGGGATTCTCTGTGTAGCCTTGGCTGTCGTGGAACTTGCAGGCCCCAAACTCAGAGCTCCATCTGCCTCTGCCTCCTGAGTGCTGGTATTTAAAGGCATGCACACACTGTATGAGGAATAAATTTTTAATCCTGTTTTACCTTAATAAGTTTAAGTAGCATTGTGTGGCCTATAGCTTCTGCATTTGGACAATATGCCTAGGTAGCCAATTATTTGCTTGTGGATGTATTTGTCTCTTTCTCTCTCTCTTTATATATATTTATATATTTTTGTTAGGTTTTGTAAAGCTGTATTTTTAAAAAGACTTTGGAGCTGAAGTGGTAGCTCATGCCTATAGTCCTAGCATTTGGTGAGTCTGAGGCAAGAGGAGTGTCAGGAGGTTAAGGCTAGGGCCTGGAGAGAGATGGGTCAGCAGTTAAGATCACATACTACTCTTACAGAGCACCCATGTCTGATGTCTGGTCTCTGTGGACATGAGCTCATGTGTACATACCCACTTGCATACATCACAAAAATTGTTTTAAAAATCTTAAATGAATCAACAACCAAGTTCAATGCTAGCATAGACAACATAGTTTCAGGCCAGTGTGAAACTGCTTCAAAAGAAAAGACCAAAGCCACTAAAAGTATAATGACCTTGCATTTCCCAAGCCATACCAGGGAGAGAGAGAGAGAGAGAGAGAGAGAGAGAGAGAGAGAGAGAGAGAGCGAGAGCGAGCAAGATGATAGTGTGGGGAAGATGACTTTGGATCAAAATTTTTCTTATGGATGTGATGAGCTTACTCATCATTTAAAGCTAATTATGCTCAATAGACATTTTTTATTTGTCAACAAGATGATTGCTAAGCACTTATGTTGTGTGAAGTGTGTGTGGCTTGGTCCTATTTCCTCACTTGTTTACAGTGAATCAGACGTTCCAATAGATGTGGAGACGGTCACGTCAACTCCTGTTCCACTCTATGACAATCAGAAGGCACGAAGTGTGATGAACGAGTGTGAGCGGCATGTTATCTTCGCCAGGACAGATGCAGATGCTCCTCCTCCTCCAGAAGACTGGGAAGAGCATGTCAACAGGTAGGCCATTTCTTGATCAGATTGGTCACTTTGGGTTTAATGGTTAGTACCCGTGTTTCTTGGATATCATCTTCATTGAAACATTTTGCCGGAGTTTATTTGTAGCTGTGTAAATGGAGATGTTCTTTTCATTCTGCATTGTATCTCAGCTCACTGCTGTGAACCATTTGGCAGCAGGAGTTGCATCTCAGTTACCTTCCTCACTGTCCCTAACTATCATATTGACTGACATACGTAGTGACAGACATCTGTAGTTTTGCAGCACCTTGGAAGGCCTAGGCAGAAGGAGGACTTGCATTTAAGAATTCCATATATATCTGGACAGCATAGTGAAACCTTAATATTTTTATGAGAAGTAGGGGGTTGGAGATAGAGCACAGTGGTAAAGCATTTTCTGCCATGTATGACCCAGCACCACAAAACCATATGATGTGCTTGCTGGACATAGGTATGACTAACTCTGTAGGTTATGCAATGTAAAAGCCACCCAGACTACCTAAAAAACTATATTTATATTTGTAAGATCTGCGTTTATATGATCTACAGTTAGGTTAATAAATGTTTAGAGTTGTGTAAAGCTAATATGCCTGAATTGCTTTAAAATATAATTTTTTGAGGTTGGGGATATAACTCCATGACAGAATTTAATTTTAAAAAAGGTGAGAGGAACTAGAGAGATGGTTCAGAGGTCAAGAGATGTACTGCTCTTCAGAGGACCATATCTTGGGCAGCTTACAACTACCTGTAATTCCAGTTCCAAGGGGATGCCTCTGTTCTACTTGGGCACCTGAATGCCCATGTACATATCTACAAATGTGCACACACACGGTTAAAAATATGACTTTTAAAACATATGGGAACAAATGTATGAGAGAATTCAACGACTTTTAAAAACCAGTTAATGCCTTTTTACAGTCATTTTTTTAAAAGATTGATTTTATATTCATGTATATTTGTCTGAGTATATGCCAGTGTATACCATGTGTGATGAGTGTCCTTGAAGGCCAAAAGAGATTGTTGGATCCTCTGGAGCTGCAGGCACTTATGGATTGTCTGATATGGATGCTGGGAACTGAACTCTAGTCCTCTGTAAGAGCAAGTGCTTACAATTGTTGAGCCCCCTTTATTGATTTTTGATACAGGGTCTCTGGTCTGATGTAGGCTCCCTATGTAACTAGGGTTGACCTGATCCTTGTGCCTCCTGCTTCTGTATGCTGGGATTATAGGTGTGTCACCCCCATGCCTTGCCTTTGTTTACAATGGTTTTACTGTGAAAGCCAAGGCTGGCCCCTCCACATATTGTGTGTGTGTGTGTGTGTGTGATGCATGGTCACTAGTTTCTTAATTTATAAGGAAAGATAAACTGCAAAGCAGAGGAGTGCCTGACTAGAGTGTCCATTCCCAGTTGAAAAGTCTGAGAAGGCATTCTGTTCCATGGGGTGGGCACCTGGAGAATCTTTACAGGAGAAAGATGGGCACACCAAGTAACTAAGGTGCCCCTTCACCTGCTGTGTGCTACAGAATACACTTGAAAGATTCCTATCTTTGGCTTGTCTTTCTCTAGTCTCAGAGTGAACCTCCATCTTCTATTAGGACAACTACTGCACACTGATAGGGTTTTGTTATTCTGAAATAAACTGACTGTGTTTTGGTGTCTGGTAAGATTTGGGTGGTATTTTAATATCAACAGGCTTTAAGCTATCTCTTTGGTTAGGTCACTTTTGCAGATAGCTGATTTCATTATTTTTTAGTACTTACTAGCTTAGCTCAAGAGGTCATCATTTTTCTGTAGCCTGTTTGGAAGTTTGCAGTTGCCTCTGTTATTATAATCATCATATTGCCTTCTTTCTCTTGATTGTTAAACTGCTGCTTCCTTTCTTTCTGTATAAGCCATGTAAAATTACAGTTTTCCACTCTGAGACCTCCATGGATAGCTCTATAGGACAGCTCCCTAGAATCTAGATTTTTATCTTCAGGGAGACGACTGATTGGCTTGTATCTGTAGAGTCAGAAACTTCCATTCTTTGTTAGGGCTCTTTTCCCTGACCCTTGAATTATTCAGTAGAAACTTCCTACGGATCATTTTGTGTGTAGGAAACAAAATCTACTACCATCATCTAATCCTAGTTTTCTCTAATGATGGCTGGTATTTGATGAAATGGTTTCAATCTCTGTTTGATTTAGTTGTCTAGATGAGGCAGGGGTTGTTAAACTGATCCATGTGCCAAATTTGGTCCATTGCTTGGTTTTGTATGCCTTAAGAGTAGTTTTTGTTTTTAAGTGTTTGGAGAAAAAGATACTATTTCATGACACATAAAATTTTAATTTGTGTCTATGATTAACAATTAATTGGAATACAGCTCTGCCTGTTTATGATATTGCCTATGGCTGCTTTTTCGCCAAGAGTTTTGTGGTTATGTCAGGGACCATATGATCTATAATCCCTCATATGTTTACATTCTGATTTCCTATCCAAGAAGTTAGCTGACTGGGTCTGGGTCATGTTCTTGTGTTTGTGTATCACAGTCATATACCTTGGAGGATTGTTGAAAATTCTATTTGGTGGCCAGTAATATAGTCCTGAAGATGTTGGGCCAGCTATCCCCCATCTGTTCATTCATCAGATAGAAAGTTGCATTAGATGCATTTGCTCAGGTGAGTTTTAAAACATTTAAGTTTTGTTTTTGTTGTTTTTTTTTTTATTAATCTAGTACTGGAAAGTAGGCTGTCTATCTTAGAAATCAGAACTTTATATTTTCAACCAAAAGTCTTCCCGTTCTCCTTTTCTGAACTTTATGTGATTATGTACTATGATATGTATGTATTATCAAGTTGAATGTTTGATATTTCAAGTCCGAAACTGTTGGACTGTTTTCCCTCCTTCCTTACCGCTTGCCCATTTTTTTCCTTTCTTTTATTCTTCCCTTTCTTAGTTGTGTGATTTAATTGAGCTTTTCTGATGTTTTTGTCTTGCTCTGTTTAACTTTTCACTTAAAAAATTTCTTTAGACTAGGCATGGTGGCGCACACCTAGAGTTCCAGTGTTTAGGAAGCAGAGGCAGGTGGATCTCTGAGTTTGAAGCCATCCTGATGTGCATAGTGAGTTCCAGAACAGTCAGGGCTATGTAGAGAGACCGTGTCTCACAAAACATAAATAAATGAATGAATGAATGAATAAATAAATAAACAAACAATTAATAAATAAAAGGTTCTTGTTTGTTTGTTTTTTAAAATTCTTTTCAATGGGGCCAGTGAGTGGAATTTGCCAAAACACAAACGTGGTACAAGTTTGATAACCTGAGTTCAATTATCAGAACCCATGTAAGACAGGAAAAGAATCGCTTTCCAAAGTTCTGACCATATAAGTGCCATGGCATGTGCCTCCCTCCTAAATACATCACACACTAGTCCCATGCACATACACAATTAAAAAAAAAATTGAAGGTTGGAGAAATGGTTCAGTGGTGAAGAGCATTTGCTGTTCTTGCAAAGGGCCAGAGTTCTCTTTCCAGCCCTCAAGTCCTGGCTTATAACCATTCTAACTCTGGTTTCAGGGGATTCAGTGCCCTTTTTCTGACCTCCATGTCCTTTGGACATTTTTGTGTTGAATCAGTCTCCCTTGGAACAGAATCAGAGAATTAATAATTACCTTTGAAAATACTAGGCTTGTCTGACTTTGTGGCATGTGTCTATAATTCCAACCTTTTGGAAACAGAGATAGGAGAATCTAAATTTGAGGACAGTATGGGTTACATAGTGAGACCTTGTCTCTTTAAAAAAGAAAAAAAAAAAGGAAAGAAGAGTCAGATTTTCTAGGACCAGCGTGCTATTTTGCTTGCCATAGCTCAGATAAGCCTGACATCAGCATATCATTCAGGTTGGTCAGACTGAAGAAAACAAAGACTATCTGATCTCATCTATGAAGCAAAGAAAATGCATTTCTTGCACTCATGAAAATTAAATAGATTTAGGCCCAAAGGGAGGGCAGTTGACTCACCACAGTTCCCATCAACTCCTTGACTGTTTAGGCTTGTATTTAAAATTTGGTCTCCTGTTTTTGAATTTTTACTTAATTATATCTTTAGCATGCTCTTTATCTTAATCTTTGGTTAGATCTTTTCCCTCTGCCCATTTAATTTTTCAGCCTCCCACGAAGCTGACAGAATGCATAGAACATGTTTCGGTTTGGTTCACTTTATTGTATGTGTAGCAACAGTCACAAGAATTTTTTTCCTGAGACTTCAGACTCTCAGTGTGGTTTTCAAATTTAATTTCATGTGTTGTATGGTAGTCATTTCTAAATATATTTTTACTTTTTTGTTCAGATCATATTTCTTCCTCATATCATTTTGGATTTCATAGAGAAAATAGAGTAATAACTAAGGCTGAGGAGAGAGATGGCTTAGTGGGTAAGATATGGCTTATGTGTAAGCATCAGGGCCTGAGTTTGGGTCTTCAGCACCTACATAAAAAAAGCTGGGCATGGCAATATACATCTTTGACCCCAGTGTTGGAGAGGAAGGTCCTTGGAACTTGCTGAACAGCCATTTAGTCAATCATTTGAGTACCAGGGTCTGTGAGAGACCCTGCTTCAAACAATATGGAGAAAGATAAAGAGGACATGTAAATTCAACCTCTGGCTTCCACATGTACACACATTGACATCCCATCCACATGTCTACACTACACACACCATAATCTTAGTGCTTACAGATAGGGTAGAATTCAACTAATGATTAAAAACAAGTACATTAAAATGGAAATATATCTGTCTCCGGAAAGCTTTTTCTATTCTGTTTGTGGACATTGTGTTTCCTCCCATGTCCACATGCAAGTCTCAAGACCACCTGATAATCACTGTACATGGAGAGATGCTATTAGAGTAAATATACTATACATTTCAGTAACTGAACGGTAAGGAAAACATGAACTATTGGGCTTGACTTTTATATTCTAACAAAGGGAACCAAACACAGAATGGCTGGAATGTGAGATGGTGATGTTACTGGAAAATGGAGCTAGAGAATCTCAGGGTGGGATAAAACGGGTCAAGGAGGCCTCAGTAGAAGGTGATATTTAACAGTTATCCTTAGGAGAGGAAAGAGGATATTACTGTTGGAATTTTGGGAAGAATAAAAAGGCTCCAGATACAGGGCTATGCATGATGCACGTGGATGTAGGGGAATGGATAGTATTGATCAGGGACAGAAGAGCACACTGAACTAAACCTGAGTGACAGTCATTGGGTGATGAAATTAGGAAGGTATTGGAATCCACATGGTTCATTGCAAGAACTTTAACTTTTTTTTTCATTTTATTTGTTGTGTGTTTTGCATGTATGTATACATGTATTCGAGTGTACATGTAGATTATAAAGCTGCTATCACCTGTGTTTCTACAGATGGAGGCTAGAGGTTGATGTCTGGTATCTTCCTCTGGTTTCTACCTTAGTTTTTGATATAGACTCTTTCACTGAAGAGATTGCTGATTGTTTAGACTGACTGGCCAGTACGCCCCTAGGATCCTTCTGTCTCACCCTACTCCTGAACCTAGCATTAGCGTTAGAGGCACACGTCACCATGCCCAACTTTTACATGGGTGTTTGGGGATACAAACTGACGTCCTTGTCCTCATGTTTGCATAGCGATCACTTTACCCATAGAGCCATCTCATTAGCACCAGGTCGTTGGTTTGTTGTTGTTGTTGTTGTTGTTGTTTGTTTTGTTTTTTTGAGACAGGGTTTCTTTGTAACTCTGAAGCCTGTCTTGGAACTAGCTTTTGTAGACCAGGCTGACCTCAGATTTACAGAGATCCGCCTACCTCTGCCTCTTGAGTGCTGGGATTAAAGGCATACACCACCACCGTCTGACTGGGTTTTTTTAAATTTTTTTTGGGGGGGGTTGGGTGTTATTTGTGCTTATTTGTTTGTTTTTTTTGAGACAGGGTTTCTCTGTGTAACTATCCTAGCTGGTCTTGAACTCACAAAAAATCACTTGTCTCTGCCCCCCAGTGCTGGCATTAAAGGTGTGCACCACCACCACCATGCTAAGCATATTGGGAGTTTTTTGATGGCAGAGAGTGAATAAAGTTTAAATGTCTTCTATTGCCTTTCTCCTCCTGTCTTTAAGATTATTAGTCATAGTTGGGATATCAGAATTATTGAGATTGGGAGTGATGTTAAGAAGCTCTATACTGGGGAAAAAAAAGAAGCTCTATACTGCTATGTTGGGAGTGAAGTGTGGGGCTAAAATCAATAGGATATACTGGGCAGTGATGGCGCATGCCTTTAATCTCAGCGCTCAGGAGGCAGAGGCAAGCGGATCTCTCTGAGTACGGGGCCAGCTTGGTCTACATAGTGAGTTCCAGGACAGTCAAGGGTATACAGAGAAACCCTGATTTGAAAAACCAAAAGTAAACAAATAAAAGGAGAGCAATAGGGTAGACTTGTAATTGCAGAGTTTACAGCTGAGTTTAGAAGGGCACAGAGGGCTGTGAAAAAGTAGGGACGGCAGACATTTATATGTCATTGTCATGTGCTAGGTTAATGTTAACATCATTTTGCTAGTTTTGTGACAAAAATGTAAACTGGAATACAATATTGAGGCATTGAAGAATTATGATAATAGTTCTTTTGCATTTTTGCTCTTCAAACTGATTTAAATAAAGCTCTTACTTTACTCTCATGTTTCTAATATAGTACATTAAGATGCTTACTAAAGCCGGGTGGGTGGTGGCTCATGCCTTTAATTCCAGCACTCAGGAGGCAGAAGCAGGCAGATCTCTGAGTTCGAGACCAGTCTGGTCTAAAAGAACTTGTTCCACGACAGGCTCCAAACCCTGTCTTGAAAAACCAAAAAGAAAAAAGAAAAAAAGAAAGATGCTTGTTGACCCAAGCATTGTGGCATATGTTGTAATCCCAGCATTCTGGAGGCTGAGGAAGGAGGAATTTGGAGTTCGAGTCTAGTTTGGTGTGAGACCCTATCTGGAAAATAATCAATATAGAATTTAACTGTGTACTGGTGCCATGTCTTTGGTTACTAATAAGATTATTTTAGCCACCAGACCGATAATTAGCTTTGCAAGCACTGAAAGACTTCAGGCTGGTCCTGACTTGTAGTGTATGGTGAGCCAATTCGTTGTCAAAATTGGGACCAAAATTTCATGCTCAGTGACCTTAGATGCTTCCATAATGGGAACAAAAATGTGAAACAGTATCTCTTTGTATGGTGAACATACATGGGAAATGTCCTTAGTGTTACACTTTAATTCCTCAGAGTCTCTGTTACAGGACTGGCTGGACAGTGGCTCAGAGCAAGCTGTTCAACAAGATCCTCAAAGCCCTGCAGTCTGACCGACTCGCACGCTTGGCCAACGAAGGGGTAAGACATCAGAAATCTGTCTTTAATTAACTCTCTTAGTTCAGGCCTCACTGACTATGTCCTGTGTTGTCATTTGCCACCCCCCCCCCCAAATCTCTTTTTGTGAACATCTTTTAGGCTTGCAATGAGCCTGTGCTGCGTCGTGTTGCTGTGGACAAGTGTGCAAGGAGGGTGCGACAGGCTCTGGCAAGTGTAAGCTGGGACACCAAGCTGATCCAGTGGCTACATACCACCCTCGTGGAGACCTTGAGTCTGCCCATGCTGGCTGCTTACTTGGATGCTTTGCAGACACTGAAAGGGAAGGTGAGGCTTTTGTTACTTTTTCCTAGCAGTAGCTTATATTTGCTATGGCTTCAGGATTTAGATTTGGACAAGACCATTGTGACCAGGTCAGCATGGTTGAGTCTAACAATTTGACTATTAAAATAGGAAAAAGGTATCATTTTAGGTTTATGTTTGATGTAAATTTCTTCAGTCCTTCCATCTTTTGGATGAGGTGTGGCATCTGAAAACCAGAATACATAATTAACCTCTATAGCCTTGCAGTTTGTGCTTTGAGTCATGCTGAATTGAATTGTGGTGGAGGAGATGAGGGTTTTACCAAGGAGGACTGTCAATAAGGAGGCTGTGAGAAGCAGATCTGTGGTGCTCAGAGGGCCAGGAAATTACATAGCAAGGAACTGTCTGACACTAAGTCTCTTCTCATCAAGTGATGAACCGTTGACTGGGTGTGGTGGTACATGCCTTTAATCCCAGTACTGTAGAGGCAGAGGCAGGTGGCTCACCATCACTTTGAGCCTGGTCTACACTGCAAGTTCATTTCTGTAGGGATTGAGTTAGTGAATTGAAGTAGAGATCTTGACACAAGAGCCAGCATATAAGAAGCCCACAGTAACTACTGAGGATTATTTAAGTGGCCCTCATAGGGGCTTGAGGAGTGTGTGTGCTTTGCTCCAGCACAGGATGGCCTTAGGCAGTGGTACTTAGTTCAGTTTTTCACTTTCTTTTTCTTTTACATGGTGGTACTGGGATAGAGTCAAGGCCCTTGCATTTGCCCAGTCATTAGTTTTCTGAGTCATGTCTTCAAAACTTCTGGTCTTATTGGTTCTTAATCGGAATTTTTTTTTTTTAAGTTACAGAAGGCTGAAGAAAACTGACTTTGTGCCAAAGTGAAACAAAACTCAGGACTAGATACAATAGATACTTGTGTGGTAGGATATTTGACCTAACCTAAGCTAATACTTATCTTATATTTGTAATGTATCAGTCATGGGAATGAGCAAAAAGAAATATATTTGGTGAGTAGTTGGCTTTAGAGACGAGTGTTGGTAGTGCCTGGAGCAATGGTAGCTCTGCCACACTGGCTGTAATCAGGGTTTAGATGCAATACCCCTTGCTTGAAAAGTTTGCCCCAAAAAGTGCGGTGGTGGCGCACGCCTTTAATCCCAGCACCCGAGAGACATAGGCAGGTGAATCTCTGTGAGCTCGAGGCCAGCTTGGTCTACAGAGTTAGTTCCAGGACAGGCTCCATAGCTACTGAGAAACCCTATCTCAAAACAACAACAACAAAAGAAATGAAGACAAGTTTGCACTACTTCTGGTTTAAGATACTAGTGGGGCATGCCTTTGTGAATGAACTGAGAAATATTTTGAACATGACAGACGCCTATTGTGGACTCAAGTGTATCCAGTGGGTGCCAGTGCTACCTGGACATACTGCTGGTGTCTGGTATGGATTAAGTGGGATGGCACGAGTCTGCCTACTACACCACCAGTCAGTGAGCACATTGAATATAAGGTACTGTATACCCTGGAATCTCCATGGTGATCCAGACTTAAAGCTATTAATGAATATGGGACTATTTTGCTTTAAAATACTTCTTAAATATACTTGTTTAAAATACTTGTTAGGTGTTAGATGGCAACCGACTCAGGTCATGCTCTTAGCCTAGCTATTTTCACCTTTAATTTCATTATGAAGAGAGCAGAGAAGGGACAGCAAACTCAGGGTCTTAATTGTGTTGAGACAGAATGAATGCAGGACTGGAAGAGCTGGGGAATCTTGATCTTCTAGCTCCTAAGTGAAAGTCAGTTGCTGATGACTTATTTCATGTTGACAGTGAGCCTCAGACTTTTCAGCTTCATAGGTAAACTCTGCTGCCTGAGAAAGCTCAGTGTTCACAGTGTTGTGGCTCATGCTCAGTGAGAATGGCCAGTTTGTGGTGGTGATCCTGGGGCGGTTAAAGCAGTTTGGCTTTAACCCTTGTCACTGTGGACTCCTACTTCCGTGCTGGAATCTGCTACTTAAGTCCACTTGGGTCTGGAATAAACACCACACATCCTTGCTTTTTGTCTCATTGGGTAGCCTGCCTGACCTAGAACTTGCTGTGTAGACCAGACAGTCTGTGAACTTGCTTTAATCCTCTTCCTTCTGCTTCCCAAGTTCTGGGATTACAGGAATGGGCTACCATGCCCAGCTGTGCTGGAGTGCTGATGTTGGAGTTGCCTAACCTAAGCCTGTTTCACTGTATGTGTTGTTGCTTCAGATGTGAATTTCCTGTTGACCTGCCCTGCTCTGTTGGATGGCTGAAATCCCCAGTGTAGGGCGTCTTTTCCTCCCATGGCAGTTAGCAGTGCCCCCCATTGGTTTGTCTTTCTCACCCTTTGAGGTTAAATCCCTCTGCAGGATTAGCTTGGTGCTGTGTAAGAGCAGCTACTGTATAAACATTAACTTCTACGAGTTATCTGAGGCAGCCTAGAGATTATAATTTTCAAAATCTCATGTGGAGATCCTTTTAGTATCTCTTCTTCCTATGTTGTTTATTTACTTGTTTTTTTGAGGCAGATTTCCCTTTGCTGGCCTTGAATTGGATATCCTCCTGTCTCAGCTTCCTGAGGGTTGAGCCCAGATTTCAAATCTATTAGACTACTTATGTGAATCATATTTATATGGCGGACAGATGAAGGATTTCAAGTAACATGCCACAATGCATTATCTGTTTTATTTTAATTATTTTGTGTGTTATGGATCAAACCCAGGGGCTTGCAAATCCTAGGTAAGAGTTACTCCCAGCTGGTCTGTCTGCATGTCTCTCTCTCCTTCTCTTCCTCTTCCCTCCCTTTTTTCTCCCTCCCTCCTTCCCACTCCTGAGTCAGGAATAGCTCATCTTCTTAGCCTGCTGCCTTTGGAGTTTTATGCCTACCTCAAACCATATTCTCTAGTTTCTGGAAACCTTTTTAAAATACCAATGAATCTACCTTTAACACTTAAAAATCTTTCTTTCTTTGAGATTGTTTTGACTTCTCTGTGGGTATTGTGGGATTTGTGAAGATATTCTTTGCAATATAAGCATAAGCATGTCTAAAACCTATGTTTATGTATTGGTGAGGTCACATTTTTGGGGGATAGTTAAAAACAGGATATGATATAAATCACAATATGCATAATACAGTAGGATATATTTTGGGGAAACAATAACAGGTTTCATTAGACTTGTCTCAACCTGAAGGCTATATCCAGAAAATAGCGCGGATTTTTTTTTTTTTTTTTAAGACAGGGTCTAATGTATCCCAGGCTGTCCCCTTTGTAGCTGAGGTTGACATTGAATTTTTGATCCTCTTACATCTACCTCCCAAGTGCTGGGATCACATAGGAATGTGTCACCCTGACTTCTGTGTGTATCCTGATAAGAAAAAGTACCCAAAATACAGTCATCTGGGAAAGGGATGGTGGAATAAACTTCAGTTCATTGGTACAGCTCACCAAATTGCCTTCCAGAGGATCATCTCTGCTTTCCTTTCACAGTGGGAGTGTACGTTGACTGTGCACTGATTTGATATGCATAAGAGCTAAGAAATGGGCTGCTGTCCTGCTGCTTGGAGGGAAGGTTTCTCACTTCACACTGGAAATGTCTTTGCCTATCCTTCTTTGTAGATCCCAACTTTAATCGACCGCATGCTTGTGTCCTCCAACACAAAGACTGGGGCTGCAGGAGCAGAGGCCTTGTCGCTCCTCCTCAAGAGGCCATGGGACCCTGCTGTTGGTGTGCTTTCTCATAACAAACCAGTAAGTTGGTTGTTCAGCCTTTACTGGCATATAAAACGTTCAGACTGACCTTAGAGGCTTGGCAGGGGAAGATAAGTGGCTTAACTTTCTTAGTAAGCTTGGGTTCTCCTCAGAGATTCTTTCCGAAGTGGGTGTTTACACTTGTGTACAGGTGCTCATGGAGGTCGGAAGAGGGAACTGAGTTACAGGCACTGGACACGGGTGCTAGGAACTGAACTCTGCTTCCCTGGAAGAGCAGTATGTGCTCTTAACTGCTGAGCCAAAAGCAAAGGATTGGTGGTTGGTGTAAGAACTGTTAGGATGCAACTGTTGAGAGTTTATAGGTGAATACCTCTCACTCAGTGGTTCTTGGATGGGATTCTTTCTCCTCAGAGCAAACTCCCTGGTTCTCCTTTGATTCTCATCGCCTCCTCTGGTCCCTCCAGCTCTGTGTTCCCTGCCTCACGCCGCCACCGCTTCTGGCAGTCACAACTTTCCTGCTTAGGCAAGGTAATTTTAAGGTCAAGAGGAATTCTGGGTAGAAATGTGGTCTTGGAGGATTAAAGAGAAGGATGTGTGGGATGGGGTCAAATTTGTTGAACTCAAATGGTGGTTCATCCCCTTAACTCTAATTTTGGCATTTAATTGTCAACTGTCTAAGAGATTTGGGTTAATAAGTTAAGCAGAATTGAGATTTGAAACTTGGCGCTGCTGCATGGATGCTCTTTTCTCCCTTTCAGGTCATCCCTGTAGCCACCCATCTGCTGAACAATGGTAGTGGGGTAGGCGTTCTGCAGTGCCTTGAACACATGATTGGGGCAGTGAGAAGCAAAGTGCTGGAGGTGAGAGTGCCCAGGTTTAGTTCATGGAGGTGCACCCAGTAGGGTGGGGTTGTTCTGTGCCCATGCACAGTCTCCTATTCACTGTTGTCTTTCTCTTGTCACAAAGATCCACAGCCATTTTCCACACAAACCCATCATCTTGATCGGTTGGAATACAGGAGCTTTGGTGGCCTGTCATGTAAGTAATTTCTGTTGTATTTGGAGGTCACTGAAAACTTAAAGGTGGTCATGGAAATAGTGCTACTGTTACTACTTTAAATTCTTCTTTGTCTTTGTGCTAGATACTTTGTGTGGGAAACTGCATTTACATTGTGGAAGACAAACTAAATGTTACTTATGGGGGACTGGAGAGATGGCTCAGTGGTTAAGAGCAGTGACTGCTCTTTGCGAGAACCCAGGTTCAATTCCCAGTACCCACATGGCAGCTCACCGTTCCAGGGCATCCGATGCCCTCATATAGACATTTAGATAGGCAAAACACCAATGTACATAAAATAAAAATAAGTTAATTATTTAAATAAATAAATGTTATTGTAGAAATGTTACTATAGGAAGAATAGAAAAATAAATTCCTTGATCTCCTCACATAGCTTTACCAGTGATCAACTCAACCAGGCTTATAGTCTTAGCCCTAGGTAGGCTGAGGTACGAAGATTGCCGTGAATTTGGGACTAACTTGGGCTATATGTAGTGAGTTCTGGGCTAGCCCAAACTTCGTAGGAGAAGAGAAAACAAAACAGTATTTAAAAGTTCCAAATATGGCCAGGTAGTGGTGGTGCACTCCTTTAACCCCAGCACTTGGGAGTCAGAGGTAAGTGGGTCTTTTGAGTTCGAGGCTAGCCTGGTCTACAGAGCAAGTTTTATAACAGTCAGGGCTACACAATGAAGCCCTGTCTCAAAAAAAAAAAAAAAACAAAGTTCCAACTACTGTATTTTTTATATGTGTTTTAACAAGTAAAAAGATTTCTTTTCTCCAGACTTAAACACCATATTGTACTCTCTCTTTAGCATTTCAAATGGGGACAAATTAGTAGTTTTGAATTTGATGTTATATTCATGTTTGGTTCCTTTATAAATATTAAGGAACATTTTTTTCCCTGCATGTTTATATCAACTTGTGTAAGTGTCCTTGACTTTGGAAAGCTCCACTTCTTCCAACCTGCATAGTCAAAATAGTGAGAGCAAGCACCCACTATACCCTGCACAACCTGGGACAGAAGTTTCAGTAGCCTCTTACCTTGAGAAGTCTCTGCTGTGTGGGAGCTATCCCTTAAAACCACTGATAAGAGATTTCTCTGCTTAAGGGATAGGGTTGGCGTTTGTGTTTTTTCTATATTTTGGGGTGTTCTCTGTTCTGGGAATAAAACCCAGAGCCTTGCACATGATAGAGAGGTAAGTGTGCTACTCTGAACTTGCTGTATCGCCCAGCCTGGACATTATGTGTTACTTTGATTATATTTATTCTCAGTAATAAAGTCAGTAAGGAGGGCTCTAGTCTAGGTTGCTGGTGGGTCTGAAGTGTGACAACTGTCATCAGGCTCAGGTGTATGTGGAGGTCCTGTCAGGACTCCAGTTCTCTAGGAGGTGACTGCCTGTGTTCTATATACTTAATCATGTCATGGCTGACAAAACTGAAGGCTAAGACGAGCAAGAAAAGCTGGGACTGACTGGTGACTCTGGACTAGCCAGTCCCACCTGCCTTCTGGGGAGGCCAAGGTGCAATTAATTCATTTGTCCTAAAGATGAATGGTGCCCTTATTTACAGGTGTCTGTGATGGAATACGTCACTGCAGTTGTCTGCCTTGGGTTTCCTCTGCTTACTGTGGATGGCCCCCGAGGGGTAAGAACAAGGTCAAAGTGGTTGGTCTTTGCGGTGGGAATGGAGGACAGCAGGAAATGAGGGACAGTGGTGTGCTTACTGCGTCCAGGGTAGGTTGAGGCTGAGGCCTCCTGCAGGTTCACAACTGACTTTGACTTTTCTGAATAGCTTCAAGGTCAGTGCTTCCTGAGTACCAATTCTAAATCTAAACTGCTTCCTGCCTCTAATTTTAGGATGTAGATGATCCCCTCTTGGACATGAAGACTCCAGTCCTCTTTGTCATTGGTCAGAATTCTCTACAGTGTCACCCTGAAGCCATGGAGGACTTCCGGGAAAAGATTAGAGCAGAAAATAGCTTGGTGGTGGTCGGGGGAGCTGATGACAATCTCAGGTGGGTGCGTTCCTCTAGAGCTGAGAGGGACATGTTAGGATGGTGAAAGAAAGCTTGTCCAAGGTGGCGGTGTAATGACAGACCAGTGTGACTGAAATAACAAAAGTTGAATCCTATCATCCCAATATATGTTCAGAAGGTTGAGGCAGAAGGATTCAGTTTGAGGCCAGCCTGACCCTTGAACCAACTGTCTCAGAAACTTAAAAGACTTAAAGCTGCAAAATAGTATAAGAAATCCGAAATCTCATCTGTTTTTCACCTAAAGTTTCTTGTATAACCAAAATATAATTCTCAAAATAAGGAAACTAATGTCAATTTGATAGCATTGTCTGGTCTAAACAGCAAACTTAGATACATCAGTGTCTCCCTAATGTCTGTCTCGTTTTTGAGATAGGCTATACTCATATTTACCACGTATTGAGGATGACCTTGAACACAATCCTTCTGCCCTTAACTACTAAATCTCCATGTTCAGTCTTTAGTGATTTTTTTTTCTGTGACCTTGACACTATTAAAGACACTGACCAGGGGTTCAGAGGTTGAGAGCACTGGCTGCTCTTCCAAAGGTCCCGAGTTCAATTCCCAGCAACCACATGGTGGCTCACAACCATCTGTTATGAGATCTGATGCTCTTTCTGGTGTGCAAACAGAACACTGTATACGTAATAAATAAATAAATTTTTAAAAAAAGACACTGACCAGTTATAGGTAGTTTTAACTTTGATTGTGCAGTTGAGATAGCTGCTGTAGGGTTCTCCACTATGAAATTACTGTTTTTCCCTTTGTAATTAGGAGTCATCTTGTGGGGAGAAGATATTTTGAGATTCTTTGTCATCAAACTTTTCTTGATGTAGGCATTTAAATTTTTTTTTCTCAGTGTGAACATAGATTCACTTGTCTTAAACCTGACTGGTTACATTTTGGAGTATGAATAGAACCAAATTTTGGGAGAATTTTAGTTCTGGCTGTCCTGGAATTCTTTCTCTCTCTCTGTAGACCAGGCTGGTCTTGCACTCACAGAGATCCACCTGATTGCTTCCCAAGTGCTGGGATTAAGCCTGACTGGATACATTTTGGAGTATAAATAGAACCAAATTTTGGGAGAATTTTATCCCTGGTTGTCCTGGAACTCTCTTTCTCTCTGTAGACCAAGCTGGTCTTGAACTCACAAAGATCCACCTGACTGCTTCCCAAGTGCTGGGATTAAAGGCATGCTGTACCATGCTCAGTTTCAGATACTTGTTTTTAAACTCACAGAAATCTGCCTGCCTCGGCGTCCTGAGTGCTGAAATTAAACGGATACACTACCACGCCTGGTTTTAAAAAATTTTGGCAGAGCAGTAGTGGCGCACGCCTTTAGTCTCAGCACTTGGGAGGCAGAGGCAGGAGGATCTCTGAGTTCGCGGCCAGCCTGGTGTACAAGAGATAGTTCCAGGATAGGCTCCAAAGCTACAGAGAAACCCTGTCTCGAAAAACATTTTAAAAAAAATTAATTTTTAAGTTTTTTTTTATCATTGATTTGTGTGTGTGTGTGTGAGTGTTCACATGCCACAGCGTGTATATGAAGGTCAGAGGATAACTTAGAGTTAGTTCTCTCCTTAAACTATGAGGGTCCTGAGCAACTTAGGTTGGAGGATCAACATGAACATGGGTATTATTTGAATTAAGCTTCATTTAATTTGTTTTGGAGGCTTACTAATAACTCTCCATTGTATAACTTAAGGGCCTGGTTTTTTCTTTGCTAGGAGCCTCAGTCAGAAACCAGGTTTTTGTTACTTTGAGAAAGGGTCTTAGTTGTAGTTAAAAAAAATTTTTTTACAGCTCCCCCTTCTCTTTCTGTATGTGTATTTGAGAGAGGGAGAAAAATGTGTGAATGGAGGTACACATGTACCAGGATGTGGGAACATGGCATGTGTGTGGAGGTCAGAGGACAGCTTCCAGGTCAGTTCTCCTTTCATTCTGGGCGGCATAATTTGAACTCAGTCGTTAGGCTTCCTCTGAGACCCAGTCAGTCACCTCACTGGCCTCACTGTTTCTCTTTTTTGTCTCTTAAGAATAAGCAAAGCAAAGAAGAAATCAGAAGGGTTGACTCAAAGCATGGTGGACAGATGTATTCAGGTAAACAGTTTTCTCTTGTTTTGTATCTGGGCCTTCCATCTCTTGCCTTAGGTTTACTCTTAATGGCAGCAGCCTCACTTTGGACCATGAAGGATATCAAGTAGGTTCTATGGTATACCTAAATCACAATCAAAGAAAGGGAAAGAGAGAAAAGAAGAGCAAAGGAGAGGTGAGCTAGGATAAGGATATAGACGAGGCACCTCGGGGTGGAGTGTGCTCAGAGCTTCTTTCACATAGGCAGCTGTTAGTCTTTCTCAAGGTAGGAAGCTGGGCTTTGTGCGTGGAAAGAACCATCATTTGGGAGTAGAGTTCTGTTTACCTTGATGTTATCTAGGAGGGTTCTGTTCTCCAGTTACCTTGATGTTATCTAGGAGGGTTCTGTTCTCCAGAGGAGAACTCAGTCCTTAACTTATTTTCACACTAGGATGAGATTGTGGACTTCCTGACCGGAGTGCTCACTCGAGCTGAGGGACATGTGGGTTCTGAGCCTCGGGATCAGGATGCTGAGAAGAAGAAGAAGCCCCGGGACTTGGCCCGAAGAGACTTGGCCTTTGAAATTCCAGAGCGAGGAAGTCGGCCTGCTTCCCCAGCTGCCAAGCTCCCCACCTCCCCCTCGGGCTCAGAGGTAGTGTGTGCAGGGAGGGAGCACCTTTGTTGAGGTATGAAGATGTGTAATTGGGTATTTCTTTATGAGGATATCTGGGAATTACTATAAGGGGAGATCCAGGGAGACATGCTAAGTGATGATTGGATGCAAACCTCTTTGGACCTTCTCTACCCAGGATCTCTCCAGTGTGTCCAGCAGCCCCACCTCTAGTCCTAAGACCAAAGTGACCACAGTGACCTCTGCCCAGAAGTCCAGTCAGATTGGGACTTCCCAGTTGCTGAAAAGACATGTGCAGAGGACAGAAGCTGTGCTGACCCACAAACAAGCCCAAGGTAAAGTCTCCTGACCCAGCAGCCCCAATGAGGTCCTATTGCTTGTACTTAATGTCCTGTGGCAGTTGGAAAGTATTAGATTTGCAGCTTTTTCAGTGTGAGAGGTACCCTTTCCCATATTGCTTTTAGGCAAAATCAGGTTGAAATGAATGCCGAGACTGTGTGGGACTAGTCTTTGTGTTTGTTAGTCACAGCCTGTATGTTGGTATGCTGGAGACACTGAGCTTATGAGCTGACTGTGTGTAGTGGCCCGACCTTTCGTTTAATTACTCATTGGAGAAGTATGTATTTTACCAACCATTCCAGTAGTCGGAGGGCTTTCTAGATGATAAGTACAGAGTGACTGATTTTATTCCTCAGGGTCTAGGCCAGCTCACCAAGTTCAAAGTTACATGATGGATCATCTACAGATTATGTCAGGGTTCTACAGTTGAACTTCAGATGAGGGTGAAAAACATTTGTATTGTTGAAATTAGGGTTTGGAGGAATCTAAAGACTATATGAGGAGGTGTAGAAAAGAAAATCCAGTGAATCAAGAAAGAAACATCAGTGGCTCTGTCCCTTGTGTCGGTCTGTTCACTCCCTCCACCCCATCATGAGCCTCTGCTCACATTCCCTTTTGCTTTTAATGGAGTCAGAGTTATCTCTTAAACCCAGACGTCTTATGAGACACCACCAACAAGTGTGAGTGGGTGGATGAAGGCAACAAAAGAAGCTAGGTGCCTCGGGTCTGTGTGGATGCCCTGTGACCTGACTTTTCCTGAGTGGTGGAAAAGAGCCGAGTTCCTGGTGTAAGATTCTCTTAGAAATTTGGTGAAGGCAGAGCTAGCAGTTTACTGTACTTCTGGGTAGCATGATTAGTGGAGTTACTAAGGTCATCTTGAAGGTAGAGTGGTGAACTGGGTTTAGGGTGAGACCCAAGAGTGTCAGTGGGGACAGCAGCATCCATAAAAGCATGACTTTGGCAGAGCCGATGGGTGGGTGAGAAGTGGTAGTTAATATAAACAGAACCCTCACTGTCTGTTGCCCCTTTTTGCAGTTGACTTGCTCTAGATTGTTGAGGCTTGACAATGGCCCCAATGTGGCAAGTACACAGCAAAGTCAGGTTCTAGATCCGTCTAGTTAAGAGAGAGCACCCACTGACCATTTTCATCTTTTCCTTGTTCCCACTCTGTGCCTTCATTCTCTAGCTGGCTATGATTCTATAATTCTTTCTGATTCATTCCAGCACAGTTTGCTGCTTTTCTGAAACAAAACATGCTGGTGAGGAAAGCTTTTCCTCCTGGCGCCTCCTCCTGTCTCTTTGGTGAGTATTGCTTTCACTGCTCGCCCAGGCTTGCTGCTCTCCTCCCCTGCCTCTCACTCTTCCCTCTCGCCACTCTGTTTCTTCTTTTCCTCTGTCTTCTGTCTCCTGACTATTTCCACCAGCTCCCCTTGCTTGCGCAGTGGCCTTTGCCTTTCTCAGTTCTTTCTGTTGGTTTCTCACGGTGTTGTTTTTTTGTTTGTTTGTTTTATGTTCTGTTTTGTTTGCCATGCTTTTTGGTTCTGTTTCTCTTGTATGCCTGTGGCCTGTAAGCTTGCACTTTCATGTCTTGTTTTCTCCCTGCCTTAGTTGTTTCCATTCTGCAAGCATACCAGGCACTTAGAGCTCTTGCCTTTTTCCTCTGTCTTAGGCCAGTACATTTATTCCTAAACAGTTCTTCTAACTGATTGGTAATCAATTCCCTAACTGTGACCCCATACCAGAACCCCCCCACTTCCCAGCCCAAATTCACTGGGATGCTGTCTTTCTTCCAACCCTATCTTGTTTGCCTGTGCTAAGAAGAACTAAAGGGAGGAGACTTCTGAGTGTAAAGAGTAGGAGAACTGAGAAATCCAAAAGAATAGAGAACCAGAAGGCTTGCCTTTATACTTAGTGATCTATTAGTGGAAGCCCATATTCCCAGACTTGGTTGTGACATGGGTCGCTTCTGCCCTGTTATCTTTGGGCAGAATCTGATGCTGCCTCACCTAGTAGGTCCTGAGAGCCAGTAAGTCCAGCGCACCTGAATGGGCTAGAGCTATCTCTCAGATGCTCCAAGTTAGGTCCACATGGATGGGAGCCGAGGTAGAAATGAGGTGTGACCTGTACCTGGGACGTTTCTCCTGTGTGTCCCCACAAGACTGCTTTTGGCTGACTTGACTTATGATATTTATAAACTATGGAAGATCTTACCTCAACTCCATTTCTTAGTTCCCATTTCATCAGAATCTATGGAGGAAACAGAGAAAGAGGAGCTTAGGGTCCAGCTGAAGCGGCATCATCCTTCCAGTCCTCTTCCTGGTGCAAAGCCCTCCAAGCGACCAAAGATCAAAGTGTCCTTGATCTCCCAAGGGGACACAGCTGGAGGGCCTTGTGCTCTTTCTCAAGGTGGAACGCCTGAAGGTGAGTCTTTTGTGGAGTGTTTGGTAAAGGTTGACCAGCTTTCCCAGGCACACAGTTTGGCAGGCAGCCCAACCTCTGTCAGTGTGAAGGACACCTGAAACAGAGATGGTCTAAGGTCACACATGGTGGAAAGTGTCTCAACAAGAGAGACAACATAAGAGTAGTTGTGGGGCCATTTAGAACATTTCTTATTTTGTCCCTTTCTGGTTCTCAGTTAAGGTAATAAGATACTCCAGAAAGCTTAAGAGATGGAAGAACTCCCAGCTCTCCTCTAACAGCATAGCTGTACTGTTTTCACTTTCCTACAGCTGGGTGCTTTTCTCTGTCCTGCCCATAGATCTTTCTGGGGTCTCCAGAGGTAAAACTAGATAGTTATAATAAAAGATGAATTAGATATAAAACTTTAGACTCACAAAGATAGGGTAGATATTTTCTTTAATTTTGCCAAATCCAAATAGACTATTATAATTCTTGCTTGACACCCGTTCTGTTTTACGTAATTTTACAAAATTAAAGTTAAAACCTCCCTTTTCAATTTGACAGAAAGGAGGAAGTGATGTAGGATGTCTTGTACACTGCAAATATGTGTTGCTTTTATTGGTTGAATAAAGCTGCTTTGACCTATGATAGGGCAGAATATAGCTAGGCAGGAAATCCAAGCAGAGATACAGGTGAAGAAGGGCAAGGTTAAGAGAGATGCCAGCAAGCCACCAGAGCAGCAAGATGTGCTAGAGAATAGGTAACACCATGAAGCCACATGGTGACACACAGATTTTTAGAAATGGGTTCATCTATATGTAAGAGCTAGACTGTAAGAAGCCTGAGCCATCAGCCAAGCAATTATAATTAATATCAAGCGGCTGCGGGGACCAGCAGGTGAGAAAGAAACTGGTCCAATGGGACCAGACAGAAAAGTATCTGAATACACTTTCCAGTCTTAAGTTTAGCCTTGGTTGTAGGGGCACATTAGAACTGACCTTCGGTCGTGGGGTTTGTTCTGCAGCTTCTGGGGGGAAACCTATCACCATGACACTGGGAGCTTCAGCAGGAGCCAAGGAACTCACTGGACTTCTCACCACCTCCAAGTGAGTCCCTCCTTTCCCTTCATTCAGTCTGTGGTTCATTTGGTGTTCGGGGAAGTTGAGAGATTCTGGAATCTTTCAGTTATGGGCATGTGATTTCTTTCTCGGTGGGAGCTTTCCTTCATTTCTGTCAGTCAGGGTTCATTTTTCCTTAGGAGATCGCAGAGCATTCACTGAGTTAAGACCACAGTTCTTTAATTTAGGCATGACTTTTAGGATTAATTAAGGATAAATTAAGGACTTAGAAGCTGAAACAAAGAAACAGAAAATTCTTCCTGGCTGAATTTCTCCCTGGATGCTCTCTCTGTGACTGTGGGCTGCTACTCTTTGGATGACAGGACTCCTTTCTTTGTTTCCAGGTCAAGTCCTCCTGAAGGTGGCGTTTTAGCCAGCGCAGCGCCATCTGTGGCTTCCAGCAACACCACACCCAATGCCATCCAAACCCTGCAGAGCCGCTTAGTGGCCACTTCTCCTGGCAGCGCCCTTCCAGGTATCTTGTAGCCCTTCTCATGTCCACCAGCAGTCTTTTGGATCTGCTGCTAGGAGGTGGGCTTAGACCAGGAGCTCTGGGACTGGAGCTACAGGGAATATCTCTGCCAGCATTAGCGTGGATGAGGGTCTCTAGGAGCTGTGTTCTCTACTGTGACCATGGGCAATGCCTGTATTGTGATTCTTCTTCTTCTTTCTTAATTTTTGATTTTTCGAGACAGGGTTTCTCTATGTAACAGCCCTAGCTGTCCTGAAACTCGCTTTGTAGACCAGGCTGGCCTCAAACTCACAGAGATCGCTTGCCTCTGCCTCCCAAGTACTGGGATTAAAGATGTACACCACCACCACCCGACTGATTCTTTTTTTTCATTCATCTGACTGAATAAAACTTGGAGGTATTGCTAACCTGGATATTGGAAAATGAGATGTTTTTTCTGTGTTTGTTACTTAACGTTTTATGACCCCAGTCTTCATGGAAGGACTGGTTGCCTGATCCCATAGTTTAGAGCATTGCTGATTTACCTTTCCTTTAAGCAGATTTTTACTTTGAGAATGTTGGACTGTGTGTAATGTGGTCAAGTATCTGAATCCACTTGGCTTCTAGAGCCTTTCTTCTTACCTAAAAATAAAGAGGATTTAGGTTTCTGATTGAAGCTCTCTGCTGTTCCTAATGCCATTCAAAATGTAGACTATTGGCTTGGAACAAGTTGATTGTGCAGAGCACATCCAAGGCAGTGTCTAGCATGCATCTCCCCTTGTGTGGCATCTACTGTGTCTGCTCAGGAGACTCTCCTGGTATCTTTCTGAGGGCGGGGGAGTATCTTAGGACAAGTGTAACTTGTTGGTGAGGGTGAAAGTGTGGCTGCTTCTGGGTATGTGCAAGTGACTGACCTCTGCTGCTACCTGCCATGTCCTCTCCTAGGGGCCACTTCAGCCAGCAGCCTCCTCCAGGGCCTCAGCTTCAGCTTACAGGATATTAGCAGCAAGACCTCTGGCCTCCCAGGAAGTCCCTCTCCAGGGCCAGCCCCACAGGTATATCATCTGCTGTGTTGTCAGGACTCCTTAATTTTGTCAGGGAGATTATATCTTGAGGACAAAGAACCTTCTAAATATTCAACCAAAAAGTTACCAAATATTATATGATTTACTGTATGGCCTTGGGTGAGATTCCTGACCTCTCTGACTTGTTTCTATATCATATATTTGTGATGATTAAAGATGATAATATGCAAAATTCCTGTAAGATTACCTTAACATGTGGTAGACACTATGCACGTTAGCTTTTAATAATAGCTGTGGGCCCTCCAGGCTCTAACGTTGCGGTTGGGTGGTAACTTCTAATCATCTTGTGTGTCCAATAGGCCACCGGTGTGAAATTGCCAACCCCCATGCAGAGCCTGGGTGCCATCACCACAGGCACGAGCACCATTGTCCGTACCATTCCTGTAGCCACCACTCTCTCCTCCTTGGGTGCCACACCTGGTGGGAAGCCTACTGCTATCCACCAGCTGCTGACCAATGGGGGCCTCGCTAAGTTGGCAAGCAGCCTACCCGGCTTGGCTCAGATTTCTAACCAAGCATCAGGTAAGTCTCATGAAAATAATGGGGACTTCAGATCTGGGCTTTTCCATAGCACTTTACTGGCCGTCTCACATAGGCAAGGTGTAAACCCAGCCCCACATGGTTCTGACCTGGTTTCTTGGATTCTGTTCTGTTGGGCCAGCCCCCCGAGAGGTCTAGAGAACACAGGAAGTTTCTTCCATGCTGCCTTTCAAATTGACTGATGGGGTTGACCTACCCACCCAGGAAGGAAACCAAGAGGATGTTTTATATGGGAAGACATTGTTACCTGAAAGAGGCTATGAATCCTGTGTCTTCCTGTCTTTGTCTGTCTGTTTCTTACTTAGGCTTAAAGGTCCCCACCACCATTACTCTGACACTCCGAGGCCAGCCAAGCAGAATCACCACACTAAGCCCTATAGGTTCAGGAGCAGTGCCATCCGAGGAGCCCACCTCCCAGATGCTGCCCTCTAGCTCACAGGTGAGTTGACTTGGACACACCAGGAAGTGAGCTCAAATCCTAGGTAAATTTGGAGCCAGCAAAAGGGTTGACCATAGCTGCCATTGAACTAAATTTGTTGACAGAGCAGATTCAAATTTGAGTCCTCAGGCTTATAGCTTTATCACTTTGATCAAGGCAGGACCTCTTGGAGTCTCCTTATCTGTAAAACTAGCTATTGTGGGGATGGAGTTTGTGCACACTCAAGTGTGGCTGCTGCTGGGGTATGTTGTTGTGTATTTGCCTCTTCCTTTTCTCCTTCCACTCTTGGTTTCCTCATCCAAGCTTGTGAATAGGGGCTGAATTTCAGGCATTGTCTTTTTTGCTGTCTTGAGGGTATAAGTAGGTTTTTTAGAGTTTACCTAGGAAGTGCCATCAGCTTCTCTTAGTTGATTTCCATTATGTCTTTTTTTAAACAATAATTATTTATTTTATTTTAATATAAAATAATATTAAAATAATTTATTTTATTATTATAAATTATTTTATATTAATAATAATATTAAAATATTTTAATATTTTATATGCATTGATGTTTTACCTGCATATTTGTCTGTGTGAGGATGACAGCACCCCTGGAACTGGAGTTATCAGACAGTTGTGAGCTGCCATGTGGGTACTGGGAATTGAACCCAGGTCCTCTGAAAAAGCAGTCAGTGCTCTTAACCACTGAGCCATCTCTCCAACCCCCATTATGACTTTTTAAAGTAAAATAAATGCTCCTAATCTAAAAATGTTATCTGAAGAATCATCCAAAGATAGGAGTCTAAGCAAAAATAGTCCTGATCTAACATTGTATTCTTCACCAGTAGCTCAGTTCAACCAGGCCTTCAACATTTGAGCAAGGAGCTGTATAGGTTACTTATCTGCAGGTGAGCCCAGTCTGTATCCTTTCACTAGACCAACATGCCTGAGTACAGAGGAGCTTGTGTAGTTAGGTCTGTTGCTGTAAAGAGACAACATGACTATGGTAACTCTTAAAGGAAAACATTTAATTGGGGCTGACTTACAGTTTCAGAGGTTTCATCCGTTATTGTTATGATGGGGACATTGCATCATGCATGCAGGCATGGTGCTGAAGGAGCTGAAAGTTCTACATCTTGATCTACAGGTAGCAGGAGAAACTATGTGCCACACTAGACATAGCTTGAGCATAGGAGACTGCAAATCCCACCACAGTGACACTTATTCCAACAAGGCCACACCTCCTAATAGTGCCACTCCCTATGGGGACCATTTTACTTCAAACCAGCACAGTACTACTGCAGTTCCCGAGCCATTCTCTAAGCCCTTTTGTCTATTTGCTTTTAACAGGAAGTGCTATGCAGAGACCAGAGCCTGACATACATGGACATCTAGTTACCTCTTTTTGACAGGATTTGAAAGGGCTTTTCTTCTTCTTTTTTTTTTTTTTTAAACATTATTTGTGTGTGAGTGCATGCTCATGCTTGCTCATGCCATGGTGCATGTTTTGGAGATTAGAGGACAATATATGTCCTACATGTACCATGTGGGTTCTACCATGTGGATTCTGGGGACCAAATAGGTTATCAGACCTAGTGGCAAGAGCTTTTACCCACTGAACTGCCCTGTGGCCTATTGGAGTTTTTTTGTTTATTTTGTTTGTTTGTTTTGGTTTTTGCTTTTTGAGACAGGGTTTCTCTGTTTAGCCATGGGTGTTCTGGAACTCTCAGGCTGGTCTTGAACTCAGAGATCTGCCTTCTTTTGCCTCTCAAATGCTGGAATTAAAGGGCTTCACGCTCCATTGCCTGGCCTAGTGTTTTTAATCTTTTTTTTCAATTACAAAATAATTATGCTTATTTTAAATTATTGGAACATTACAGGAATAATATAATTTAGAAAATGTTTAAATTTCTCATGTTGCTGTTCTTATAGATAGCTTGAGAGAAAATTTTCTAGATTTCTCTGAGTTGGGGTCTCACTGTATAGCTCTAGCTGACCTGTAACTTGATACTGTAGACCAGGCTGAGATCATCCATATCTGCTAGAATGACACCCAGCCATTTTTGTTTGATTTGCCTATGTAAGGGCAGCATAAGGTTCCTTTTATTTGTCCCTCTTCATTTCTGTATTTGTTTGTTTTGTTCATTTGTTTTTCGAAACAAGGTTTCTCTAACTTTGACTGTCCTGGAACTTACTCTATAGATCAGGCTGGTCTCGAACTCAGAGTTCTGTCTGCTCTAACCTCTCGAGTGCTGGGTTAAAGGCATGCGCCACCACTGCCCAGCTTTCATTTGTTTTTGAGGCAGGGTTTCACTGTGTAGGAAGACTCACAAATACAGCCTTGTCAGCCTTGCAAATACTGTGACCACAGGCATGCACCACCATACTCAGCTGTATTTTTTTTTTCATACCCATTGAAGGAAAGGATAAGTCTGTTTATCCTTAAAAATGCATTTGAAGGGCGCTGGAGAGATGGCTCAACGGTTAAGAGAACTGACTGTTCTCCTAGATGACCCAAGTTCAATTCCCAGCATCCACATAGCAGTTCACTTCTGTCTGTAATTCCAAGATCTGACACCCTCACAAGACATACATGTACACCAATGCACATAAAAAAGTAAAAAATAAAAAAATTTAAAAACTGCATTTGAAGTCCTCTGCTTTTACATTCCATGTTACTACACGCATGGCTTTGTCCTTTTCCTACACTAGCTTTTGTTGTCTAAAAACGCAGGTCCCATACCCTTTGAGTATCATCCACATGGAATAAACACTTCCTTTTTAGTTAAAATGATTCATTAAATAGCTTTCCTAGGGGGCTGGAGATATTGCTCAGCGGTTGAGAGTATTGCCTGCTCTTCCAAAGGTCCTGAGTTCAATTCCCAGCAACCACATGGTGGCTCATGACCATCTGAAATGAGATCTGATGCCCTCTTCTGGCCTGCAGGCACACACACAGACAAGAATATTGTATACATGATTGATAGATAGATAGATAGATAGATAGATAGATAGATAGATAGATAGATAGATAGATATTTAAAAAAAATAGCTTTCCTAATATTCAACTGTCTGAATTCCAGAGTCAGTGGTTTATTCAGTATGTCCTATTCGTTTCTTTTTGTTGTTGTCTGGTGTATTTCTTTGAGATAGGGTCTTATTGCATAATCCAGGGTGGCTTTAAACTTTGATCTTCTTGACTTAGCTTCTCAGATACTAGGATTGCATGCAGCAACTAGCTCATCTTATTTTTCTTCAGTTTTGTTTGTGATGGGATCTCCTGTGTTGTTTAGGCTGGTCTCAGATGTGTAGTGTCTTCCAAGTGCCAGAATTAGAAGACCTGTGCCACCATGCCACCTGCTTACTGTTTTCTACATCCCCTTGTTTTATTATATACAAAGAAAATAAGACCCTATTATAGAAGAACAAGCTGAGAAAAGAAGAGCCTACTATTTAAGAGGAGTAACATGCTCTTTTGATTAGCTTCTATCTCACTTGAGATTTTAACTCCATTTATTGTTAGCCTATAGGGGTGTGTGTGTATGTATGTATGTATGTGTATATGTGTTTGCTTCCACCTCGTATGTATATGTGTGTGTGTATTGTTGCTGACCAGTTTTATAAGAGATCATGTCAGTCCTTCCTGGAGTCCCTGCTTCTTTAAAATAGGACAGTCAACTCCTGTGTGCAGCCCTGTTTTGGATCTGTGTAAGCAAGTAGGAAGTGGATTTTCTGAGAGTTTATCAGACCCTTCTTCATCCTGCCCCTTAAATGTTTTTCATCTTCACTGTGGTCCTGGGGTTTTTGAAAGTGAAGTGTAGAAACGTGGTAGGCTTGTTGAAAAGATGCCGTCCTTCCACCTGGCTTCCTTCTTCCCAGACTGAAAGCTTCAGCAGTCTGGTACTCTTTATGCCTCCAAAATTCCCAGGACCTAAAGACGATATTGTCAGAAAGATCGTGGAAATTTCCCTTTAATTCTGTCTAGTCACTCATCAGTTTCTCTGCATTCCTCTCCTTCCTTGGGTGTGATGAATGCTTCTAAGAGCTGATCATTGTGAGTTGAGCATGGATTTTACTATTGATGCTTTGTGCAGTTATCTCACTTAATCCTCGTAGCAATCCTGAGAAGCAGGTGCTGCCATCTGTGTCCACAGGTGAGGAAAAGGAAGCTCAGAGCCTGTGAGCTAGTGAGCCCCCTTCCCTAAGAAGTGGCCAGATGAGCATGACTCCAGAATGCACATTTTGTTAAGTACATGATACCAGAGGGTCTTTATCTTGTGTGTATTCTTTCCTATTGATCATTATATTGGATTGAGTTTTAGAAGTGAGGTGATTGGATCAGAGGAGTGGTTTAGCCTGGCCAGACTTTAACCCTTTTTCACCCTTCTGCCTCACAGCGCCTGCCTCCAGCACCCTGACTACGCCAGCGATATGTCCTTACCAGGTTGGTGACCGCTGCCTCAAGGTGAACAGTGTGGTCCTGCTGAGCCATCTGAGTGTCTGAAGACATCCCTAAGACAGTCGTTTTCACCTCTCTACCAGCTGTCTTTTGGGTTGGGCCTCTGGGTCTTGAGAAAGCATTAGGCCAGGTGATAACAGTGTCAGCAAGGGGAGCGCTATCCAGAGCCAGCAGGTTGGTTCCTGGAATCACCAGCAGGACTCGCCATGTATGGATTATTGGCATTTCCTCCTCAGTACTAACGTAATTTGACCCCAGTGTCAGTCTAGAACTGCTCACTGCAGTTTCATGATGAAGGCAGGGAGAACTGGGCTGTCAGCTTTGAGTCCTTTAGCTGCTGGGAAAGTGAGGAACAATGGTTACCAGGCCCCTTTCTCTTCTTCACTATGCTTTATGCATTTCCTGTACCAGAAAGCCTATAGGTCCAAAAACAGAAGGTGAGGGATGGAGCAGCCAGAGGAAATGATTGGCAGGACTCCACAAATCCTATGCTGCTGACAGTTTGGACTTGGAACTCTGACACTTGAGGACATTTGAAGATTAGCAAGTAAAAGGGAAAACCTGAATCCCTGAGAATCCTCTCTAGTGCCTGGGGATGAAACAGGTTGACCAGCTACCCTGCTGTCACTGCTGTTGTAGGAAGCTTGGGGAGGTAGGACAGTGAAGAGTTTTGTTTCCTTTCCTTAGAACTTTGACATTCTGCTGAGAAGTAGGTTTTGGTGACTACTGTGTGGCCTGAGCCTTGCAGATCATGGTCTCTGCTGATGTGGGCACTAAAGATAGACCTGAGTCTTTCATTTCCAATGACACTGTACAGATGTAGCTTGGAGCTTGACTCTGAATTTCTGTTCCAGAGCAGGCTCCTTTCCACTTCATACTTAGAAAGTTTCTGTCAAGTGAGAAATAAAGCAACTCAAGTGTGATTTTGTTCACAGGGCCTCCCCTGTAATCTGAGTGGAACATGTAGTGTTGAGGAGCCTCAGGCAATTCAGGTCAGAGACATATGATAGGAGTAGAGAGTGGTCTCCACACCCCACACTCTCGCCTTGGCTGTGGAGCTGCACGAGCAGTGCTTCACAGAGTGGGGCTGTATTCTGAAATTCAGAAGGCGTTGAGTGAATTTGAGAAGGTATGAAATCTGGAAGAAGCCTCCAGTGCTGGGGCTTTATTAGCTTCATAGTTCAGAGCATATAACCACCAAAAAAGAGAGGATAAGACTGTGGGGCTCTGTGAAACTTTGAGGGATCATTTAGGTTGGCAGGGGGCCCTGAGCAGCCCTTTGTGACTTAGGAGAACAGCTTGAACATCACTGGAGGGGCTGCTCCTGAAAGATGCTGCTGCCCCCATGTTCTGGAACCAAAGAAAACTTGTATCCTGCTTTGGTGGTGAATCTATGTACATCCCATGGGTGACTTCTGAGGCATGGCCTATATACCTTGAAGAACTGCAAAACCGAGGAAGGGGAGCTACAACACACTGACCTTCACCTTGAGGGACTGACCAACAAGGAAGTGACTGGAGTCTGTAGATCACATTCCTCAGATCCCATCTCAAACCACACTACTTGGAATGTGGAAAGACACTTGACCCTACCCATCTTGTTGCAGACTTGAGGGCATAGCTTCAGAAGGTAATACTCTTATGGAGTATGTAGAAGGATCAGGAAGGCTTTAAATTCTTGGGCAACAGATGTATTGTAAATGCTCCGTGGAAGATGTCTGTGGCTTTCAGAAGAGGTCACAGGGATAGAGACTTGTCCACCTTTGGTTGTATCACTAATAATTAGGGGGTGGATGAATTCAAAGAAGTGAGCCACCGTGATGGTTCTGATCTTACATTAGCAAAAAGAATAAAAAAACAAAACAACCAACTTTGCATTGCTTTACCTTGTTTTCTTTTGATTTTGCATGCTTTGGAAATTGCCTGTGTAGTGGAGACAGACTAGAGAGAGAGATGGTACTAGAGGTTATCTCGTGCTGTCACATGCTGAGGCCTAGGCACTGTAATTCTTAAGAAACATCAAAACAGCCAGGCAGTGGTAGTGCACACCTTTTTCCCAACACTTGGGAGGCAGAGGTAGGCAAATCTCCGAGTTTGAGGCCGGCCTGGCCTACAAATCTAGTACTGTTACACAGAGAAACCCTGTCTCAAAAAACAAAAAACCCGTCAAAACAAAAGCAAGTTTCGTGTAGTTAGGCAGGCCTCAGATTCACTGTAGCTGAACTCACCATTCTTCTGCTTCTGCCTCCTGAATGCTGGGATTACAGCATCTACTGCCACACCCAGCTGTCATTCCCTTTATAGATGAGGAAGAGGTGTGAGCTGATACCTGTCCTGGGTTCTGAGATGGAAGACCAGAAATGGAAAGCAGCCTAGGAAGTAAGGAGAATGTGTCCTTTTCAGTTCTCAGTCTACACATAGAGTCACTCACTGTTGGTCCTAGCAGACAATTGGCATCCTAAGTGCCCTTTGACTCTGAAATAAGGACTTAAAGGTAGATAAGTGGATTCTAACCTTCAGCTTGTGTATCTGTAGCAAGGGGGACCTCCTCCACCACTTTTATCTTTAGATCCTTCTTGTCTTCATTTCAGAACCCAGAACAGACCACACACACTTCTTCCCTATAAAGGAAATGACAGCTGAGTGTGACAGCAAATGCCTGTACTCACAGCGTTTAAGAGGCAGAAGAATCAGGAATTAAAGGCCAGTTCAGCTATATAGTGAATCTCAGGCCTGCCTTGGCATTGGCACTCCTGGTGGCGAGCTCTAGTAGACTGATTGGAACCTTTGGCACATTAAACTATCTTTAGCAAGGCTTATTATGTTTTCCCCCTCACTTTTACCTCTTAGGATCCCTGAATCTGCATCTGCATCAGATGAAAATTGAGGCTCTGATGCAGTTAAGATAAAACGAGTCTTTGTTGCTTTTTGTCTCATTTCCTGGTAGTAGGAAGGAATAGAGACTCAAAACTACCTCCAGTGGGCATTCTTCACCTCCCAGCTCCTTGTTTTGAGACTGGTTCTTACTCTAGCCCAGGCTGGCTAGGAACTCACTTAACCCATAGCCCAGGCCAATGTTGAGCTCCAAGCAATCTTCCTCATGAGTACGGAGATTATAGGCATGACCCTGAGTCTGACTTTGGAAAACATCTTAAGACTGGGTGCCTTGGTGCTTACCTTGTGGTTTTGTTTTCAGGATTTGGTTGTTTTTGGTTTTTTGTTTGTTTGTTTGTTTGTTTTTGGTTAGTTGGTTTTTTGTTTTGTTTTGTTTTTTGAAACAGCGTTTCTCTGTGTAACAGCCCTGGCTGTTCTGAAACTAGCTCTTGTAGACCAGGCTGGCCTCGAACTCACAGAGATCCGCATATCTCTGCCTCCTAAGTGCTGGGATTAAAGGTATGTGCCATCAAGCCACTCAAAATGGATTTGGTTGCTTTTAATTTTACCTTCTAACTATTTTACTTTATGTGTATGAATGTTTTGTCTGCATACATATATGTTTACCATATGTGTGTCTGTCGGAATCCCTGGAACTGGTATTACAGATAGCTGAGACACCATGTGGGTGCTGGAAATTGAACCCAGGATCTTCTGCAAGATCAACTTGTATATGCTCTTAACTGCTGGGTCGTCTCTCCGTTCCCCCTGGATTAATTTTTTTTTCCTGTTGTCATAGGACTGCCCAGCACAGACTGCTTAGTGGATTCCTATCTCTCAGTTCTAATTCCAAACAGCCCAATTGACCTGAGCCTACTTAGGGGCTGGTTCTTACCCCACTCACTTAATCCAGTAAGTCATGCAGTTCATACCACTGCCTTTCTAAAAGAATCGAGAAACATGAGCTATTGATCTGTTTTGCTATGTGTATGCTTCAAGACTGATAGGGCCCGTGTGCCCTGCCCTCACCAACGTGCCCCCCCTCCACCGCTGCTTGTATTGAACCTGACTAGTATACCAAAATGAGGAAGTTAAGGACTGGGGAGATGACTCGGAGGGTAAAAGTGCTAGTTCATTAGCCTGATGACCCAAGCCTGCTTTCCCGAAACCCACATAAAAAGCTGGATTGGTTGCATGCGTTTGTAATCTCAGCACTCCTACAGGAGGGTAGAAAGTGGAAACAGTTCCCTGGAAGTTTGTGGGCCAGCTAGCCTGGGGTTCACAGTGCAGCTGTAGAAACAGGAGACCCTGCCTCAACAAAGTAGAAGGGAAGATCCAGCTCCCCGAAGCTGTCCTCTGACCTCCACTATTGTGCCATGGCATATAACGCACATAGTTTTCTGTTTTAATGAGCAAATTTTGGTTCGTTATGTGTGTGGTTCTCTCACTGTATTCTTGCAGCTACAGTCACGGCATAACTTCCCTCTGCACAGGGTTCTTGTCCTGCCCCTTGATAGTCACTGCCCATCTTAGCCCATAGCAACCACTGATCCCTTCTACAGCTCTGTAAATAGAGCCGTACAGTACATGACCTTTGAGTTGTCTCTTTTTCCCCTTGGTTTAATCCCTTTTGATGTCTGTCCAAGTTGTGTGAGGGTTTAATATAGTTTGTTCCTTTTATTGCAGAGTAGTGGTCATCGTGTGGGTGTGCCACAGCTTAAGCCTTAGCCTCTTGATGGATCCTTGTTTGCTTTAGTTTTTGAAACCAGAGCATATAGCTCGGTCATTGAAATTTTCAAGATTAGCTAGATGCTTCAGCAGCTGTCCCTTGGTTTTATCTGCTGTTCCTTCTCAGAATCCATGTTAGAAATGCACTAGGTGTTTTTTTTTTTGGATGTCTTATTTGTCCAGTCCCAGTGTGCTGTCTCTTGGTTTTCACACTCCATTTACACTTTCGTGAGCCACATCTGTTACAAGTCCACTTCTGAAGACATAAGGCCTGAGAGCTGCAGCAGCAACACAGTTATTTGCATGTTCCAAAATATGACGTTCCCTCCATTATCTTGCTTCTGCATCTGAGGCCAGAGAATTTGGGGGAGGGAAAGCATCTTGATGTCTTTAGCTGCACCAAGTGGTTGTATGCAAGTTTTTATATGGACATTTGTTTTCAGGGGTAAATGTTCAGAAGTGTGATTACTGGGTCCTGTGGTAAAGTTGTAGTTTTATAAGAGCCTGTCTTGGCTTTTCTAGACCGGTGTGCATTCCCAGCAGCGGTGTATGAGAGAGCTGCTGTCTTATCCCCACTACCACTTGTGCCTTTTATATTGTCAGTCTAACGACATGCAGGTGATGGCTCATTTGGTCTTTTATTCACGGAGTCTTGGGATGTGGTCCACTTTGTCCAGTGCTCTGTGACACTTAAGGAATGTGTATTCTGATGCTGTTAGAGTCTGTAAGATGTCAGTAAAATTCTGCTCACAGTTCTTAAGTATCTTTGGTGGTATTCTGCCATGTTTTGTCAGGAAGTCTCCAACTATAATCTGTTTTTCAGTTCTGTTCTTTGGTACAGATGCATTTGGGAATCCTTTGTCTTTTTCGTGGGTTGACCTGTTTATCACTGTGTAATGTCCCTATCCCTGTCTGAAGTCTGTCTTAATCTTCTCTGACTTCTGTCTCTTGCCACCCCACCCCCAGGGCCTGTGCACACTGGAGTGCACTCAGTCCCTTGGCTTTCTTTTGACTAGCGTTTGTATTCTTTTTTCCATTCTTTGTTTTAAACTCACCTGTATGATTATATGAAATGTGAACGTCTAGTGGACTGACTGCATTTAGCATGTGATTTTCCCTCTGACAATCTTTCAATTGGTAGCTTTAGACTGTTAGCATTACATATAATTATAGATATGTCAGGGCTTCAGTCTGCCCATTTGGTTCCTGTTTTCTGTTGTATTTGTTTTCTTTTTTCCTGCCATTTGTGGGTTTCTTGAACATTTTTTTTTAGAATGCAGTTTTGATTGGCCTATAGTGCCTTTGAGTGTACCTTCCTATACATCCTTTTTGATGTGTGCTCTGAGGTGTTACATTATATGACATAACTTGTTTATGGTGCTGAAAGTCCAGCCAGGGCCTAGCATGCAAATTGAGTCTCCCCATAGCCCCCCACTAAAAAAAAGTTCAACTGAGCAAACATTTAAAACTAACCGATATTAGCCAGTAACACTATACTGCTTTTGTTTAACGGGCAGAGCAATCCATGTCTCTGGTAAGTAGATTAATACGGGAAGCCACCAGTGCTGCTGATGGCTCTGATGGAGTGAAGACTCACAGTGCATGGTTGCTGAACGGTCTATGTCATTAGCACTTTACTCAGTGTCTCTTCTGAAGGTCATGATAGGGCTTCTGGCAACTCGATAGTGATGTCTGATGGAATGAATTCTTCCTGCTGAGCTGTCTTGCCAGCCCCACTGCTGAGCACTGTTAAGTTGACCTGGTTAAGGTTTTTCCTTTTAGCCTTCTAGTATCATATTCTTATAAAAAAAATTACATAAACTCAAAACTTACACTTAAGCATTTTGTCAGATTGCCTGAAGGCAAGGCTGTGAGACATTTCTTGATTGATTGATGTGGGAGGGCGCAGCCCACTGTTGGTGGTGCCACCTGTGGGCAGGAGGTCCTCCTGGGTTCTATAGGAAAACAAGCTGAGGGAATCATGGAGAACAAGCCAGTAAGCATCCTCCGCCATGGCCTTTCCTTCAGTTTCTTACTTCATGCTCCTCTTTCAGTTCCTGCCTCAAGATTCCCTCATTGATGGGCTATTGGTCAAGATGAGTAAGCCAGTAAACCCTCTCCTCCCCCACTTGCTTTGGTCATAGTCTTTATCACATAGAAAGCAATCTAGGGCAGTCAGTCTGGGCTCCATAATCAATTCCAGACCCTGTCTTCAAAACAAAGCAACAACAAAAACCCACATTGCTGGGGCTGGAGAGTTGGCTCAGC